CAAATTATCATAGTAAACAGATATTGCATAATTAGAACAGTCGAATTTGCATTATACCTTGCCTAACCAGATACAACTGAATTTCGCGAATATGAAAATTCTGTGCTAGAAGGTGTGAATTCTGTTCCGTTAGAGTTTGGCCTTAGCTACAGAGTGACTAGTTATCCTTAGTAAGAATTTTATTCAACAACGTTATTTAGTGCAGTGGAATAAGGACCAAAATATACAAGGTCACCTTTTAGTGTCGCTAGCTCCGTTATTATAAAAGATACTTAGAACAGTTATTGATAAACATACAGGCAAAAGCATTCTTTATTTGGAAAATATGCCAGTCTCTTCGTAATAAGATAAACATGGACCTTTCAAATGGAATGCTTTCTACAGTATATTTAAATTCTGAAAGACACCTCCAAAGAAAGACGTTTGAGTTAGTACGAGCCCCTTCCCACTTCAGTTGGCCTAACTATTGAAATCTTAGTTTTATTCTTATCAAACACAAATAATAAAAATGTAGCATGTTGTTATAGGTTTAAAAGATTAACAATGAATATTTTGATAATATATAGTAGAAAACACCAACTTTATCACTCCCTGATCAAATTTGCAGAATAAAAATAACACATGTTGCAATTACAGCATATCAACCTATCTTCATTTCAATGCAAAATAAGTCTATAACGCATAGGTGGCTGTGAAAAATAAAAGCCATGACAATTGTGTTTATTAATCACAGCTGTCAGAATACGTTTAAAATAGTTTTGGGTAGTTAAGGTCTTCAAAGTGGGTAGAGGAAAGGTTATTAGTGAGAAAATTCGGTTACTGGTAATTAAATTTTTTAATTCTTTGAAATCAAACTCAGAAATTGCAACTTTGTTAGACTTATCGCGGCACAGTGTGAGAAATATTGTTAAAATATATAACGTAACTTGTTCAGTTAATATTAAACCACGATATGTGGAAAAAAGTAATATCACAAATGCCGACCGAAGAGCGTTAAGAAGAATAATCGTGAAAAAGAGGCGTGCCAATTATTCACAATTAAGTGCTCTGTGGAGTGACGCTGTTGGAAGGAAAATTTCGACGTCCACAACTCATAGAGAGGCCCACAAACTGGGATTTAGCACTTGCAAGGTAAGTTTTCTTATAAAAAAAGTGAAGTTAAAACCCTAAAGTTGCACAACCTGTTTATAGGCCAAAGAAAAGCCATTATTAACTCCACTGCAAAAGAAAAATCAGCTTAGATGGGCTAAAGAACATAGACAATGGACACCTTAACAATGGTGTGCAATACAATGGAGTGATGAGGCCCGATACGAAGTTTGTGTTGGTGACAGTCGCAGTAGAGTTATTCGCAAAAAAATGAAGCATTCCATGTTGACTGTCTGAAGAGAAAAGTGAAATTTCCAGCATTCATTATGGTCTGGGGCAGTATGTCATCAGAAGGAGTAGGAAAACTTCATTTTATTGATGGAAATGTGGATACAAACAAATATTTGGCAATTTTAGAAGAATCGCTTTTACCAGTGATGGAAGAATGTTTGACATCCGGCCAAGATTTTGTGTTTCAGCAAGATGGTGCAGCGTGCCATACCTCAAAAAAGGCTATAAAGTGGATGGAAGAAAATAATGTACCACTTTTGAAATGGGTTTCTACCAGTACAGATCTGTCATCTATTGAAACCTTGTGGCACTAGATGAAAAAGGTTCTACGACAACATCCTGCTCGTACAATCACCGAAATGAGACAAAAGCTTCAAGAAATATGGGATTGTTTTACACCAAATTTTTGCCAAAACTTGGTTAACACTATGCCCCAAAGAATTTCAGCCGTAATAAAAAATAAAGGTGATGTTACCCAATGGTAATCTTTCAATTGTTGCTTTGTTAACTTCGCGCATTTATTCGCACATTGTTTATTTGTTCAGATGTTCTATTAGTTGTAGGTCTAAGTGATTTCAAATATGTATTTTTTACTACTAGAGTGTATCTAAAATGTTTTTGAGAAAATAAATTGTGTTGGAAGTAAATAGTTTCGTTATGTTTAGTTTATAAAGGCATATTTTGGTTCAAAACTTGAAGTGGCCCAACTGAAGTGGGAAGGGGCTCGTATATGGTTTGGATCGCTATTTCTGGAGCTACGAGATAGTGTCGAAATAAGCTTTACTTTTCATAGTTTCTAGGCATTTAATGTTTTTTAAATTTCGTTCGTCATCTATACAGGGCACTCTTGAGCAACATGTACTTTTTCTCGAAAATTTGTATATTTTTGCAGCTTTAGTTTACCTCTTGGGACAAGCTTTTCGAAGGATTGAATAGCTAAATTTTTTAGTTAGTTGCGTTTATCCAGAAATTGCAATTCAAAGTAATTCAATATAGTATGATTTGTGAAGGCGGTGGATTTTTTGTGAATGGGAATATGAATTTATTTTGACATTACACAAAAAATCCTCATGAGACATATTCCAAATTTTATCTGAACCTTCCTAAAGTCAAAATTTTAGAAACAAAAAAACTAGGTATACTTCTCGTGGTCGCCATTATAAATAAAGGAGATCGTGAGATAAAAATACGAAACTAACCGCCCAGCAAACCTATCAAAAATTATACTTTTCGCCCAATGGAAATAATGATTTTATGTATTAGCCGGATTTTTTTATCAAATTTTCACTCATTTTGTGGGCATTACTTACGATATCAGTTTGGAAAAACATAGGTAAGATGCATCAATCATATTGTCTACCCCAAAGAATTGAAAAAGCCATCTTGCTTCTGCTCTTAAGTGGTAGTTTTAAGGATAACGTAAAGCATGAAAAAATGGTGTCAAGTAGGTTAACTTCCTGACATTTCCTACTCAACGCCGTCATTAGTTCATAAAGGATTAAGTTCAGTGCAATTCAAATTCTTTAAGAAAAAATTCAGTTAAGACGCTAATAGTTACGAACGAGTACGACAGAGAAATTAAACGGATCAAGTCAGTGAAGTAGTCCATGGACATTCTTTCCTGTACCACCGGTAGTTACTGTCCTACTGGCAACGTTGTCACTTTCCACATCTGCACGGCAGTGTCCAACGCGGCATCACTGCCGCAACTTATCGTTCATTTTGAGTAAGGTTCGAACACGTTTTTCTTGCGCTGCAGTGCAGATAGATCAGTCAGCCGGACCGGTTCGTCGGGCAGTGAACTAAGACAGGAAGAGTACGTGGGTCGAAAACATTTCGCTATCATTCTAAGTTTTAAAGTCAAATGTACTAGGCTGATTAGCTGCTACACATTTTTTTCTGAAGATGATCAGGAACCTCTGAAACGTCAAAAAATGAAGTTGGAGCGACTTTAATCCCCTCCGTTTTTGACCTTTCTGCCCCGATTATCGAAAACTACAAAAATTTCTCGTCTTTGGCGTAATAGCAACGTTGTGTGAGAATATCATGAAAATCCGACAAGTTATAGACGGGCTAAGGAATACCAGACAGACAGATAAAAAACAGACCGACGGAAATGAGAGACATGGTTTTTCGTTATGTACATATCAATCATACCATGTCCAAAAAACACAATATCTCATTTTCGATATTTTTCGCAACTACAATTTTTCCTGTTCCAAAAGCGACATTTTAGACTAGCGTGAAGAGATATTCTTACTATACACGATGTATGCTACACCTCTACTAGATATCTCAGTTTGTTCAGAAAACATCCTGCCTGAATTGTATATTTTTATCGAGTAATAACGGCGTTCTGGATTGAAAAAAATTATTGTGAGGATTCGCAATTAACACATTGCGTGGTAGATTCTTCTGGCACATCAACGGAATATTATTTCAATAGTAATGTTTTATCGGCAACAACAAGTAAATGTTCAAGATTTTAACAAAGCTGGTAAGCGGAAGATCGGCCTTAAAGCAACTAATCGGTTGTCGATTTCCACGTCTGGTTGCACTGATTCCCCGTTAATTAGTTGCATTCACGTATCATAATTTCGACACGAGCTGTAATTCTTTCTTATTTCCTTATTTCCGCTTAGATTGGTGAAGAATGCAAAAATTAAGGTTATTTTTGTTGCATGCACCAATGTGTGAAGTAATCAGACATACTTTTTCTGCAATGTATACTGTATAAAATATAGAGGACGTCCAGAAAGATTTAATGGCTGATAACACTCGTTATTTATCTTATTTAAATATTATTTCCGAGGCACAAGATGTTGCAAGGGAATAAAGAACAGGTAAAGATTCATAAGCCAGGACTTTCCAGTTATATGTTCAATTCAATTTTTCATCATTCTGCGTCAAACTTTCAGAAACAAAAAATATTATCTATCATGGAATGTCCATCATATTTTGCATTGAATCTAAGTTCTGCTATACCTCCAACCATCAAGTTCGATATCTCGAAAATCTAACTCACCAACTGATGCAAAATATATACAAAATTCCGTCCGGCAACTCCGATGTTGTGAGTTGAATCCACCCGGTAAGAAGCCACATTGCTTCTAGTTGTCAATTTTTTCATAAATATAGCGGTTAAATATGTTTTAACCTGGTCAAGGAAATTGTTGTATTCGTACTATAAACAACAAAAAGTAGCAGCTAACCTCTTTTATGGTAAAAAATGTCTATCGCAATGAACAAGCCTCAAATGACAATTCGCACACAAAACTTGGTCGTTGTTATTTTTTGCAAAGAAGTCACAGTTATTTCATTTTAATGTCCATATTTGATCAAGTCAAGATAGTCCGCTTATTTCCTATTTTTTGCCCTTCAAAAATACTATGTGTAACGTGTAATGTTTTTTGAGAAGCAGCTCACTATTCAATCATTTTTTGTACAGCTTAGACATACAAACTTACATTAATAAGAAACTGTGATTATAGTTTTCAAGGTATTCAATTCTTTAATCTAAATGAGCTTATCCCTCATTTTGAGTTCTATACTTAGATGCCCGAAGTTTTCAATTTCCACTACAGTTATTACGAGCGTTTCACATAAATCAAAAAAGTTACCTTCTTCCTCATAGTAAGTATGTTCATAAACTGTAGGCTTCCTCCCTCTCCTGTAACACTCTCCATTCTCCAAGAACAAGAGAAACACAACACCTAATCCCAAGCACTTCCACATCTCCACAGAAGATGATCCTCATTCAATGCCTAGTCCATCAACACTTAAGATAACCTTCAATCGTTGCATTATTATCAGCTTCTCGATCATGTTACCGAATGCAAATCAGCGCATTTCAAATCAAATCAAAGTTGCCTTGAGTTTCGTCGCGATCTTCAATTGTCTTTCGCGCGTTGGTTGCGCCGTCAACTGTCTCGCGTTCGATCGATGCACCGCCACAGCCTACTCCAAATCAAGTCGAAGCACTGCTGCGGTTTGAACGCAGATCTGGGCTAGTAGATCGTTTTAAGCGAATTGGTTGTCTGAAATCGATTATTTCAAAATTTCCCTAGGCGAGCTTTTAAATGAACAGCGTCGAGTGAACTTGATCTTGGACACGGTCGATTATTTTTCATATACTTTCAGTGTTACATTTGCGCGGACAATAAATAGTACGCGCAGTTGGATGTTTTTTGCTATTTTTCAAAAATATGTTAAGCAGGTTGTAGAAGTAACAGGATATTCGATTTAGATCGATTGATCCTTCGTTGGGTGTGGATGGTCACATTTTCTTATGCCGAAACAGCCGCGCAGGCAGAATACGAAATACCAGGGCACCGCAGGTGCTATGAGAAGCCTCGAGAAACTTAGTTAATCCTACTTTGGACTGTGTTAGGTTTGTGGCACTGGGAAAAGCCTCCTCAGGTATATTCTTTCATAATCTGGACTCCCTAGGGACAAAAGGAGCGATCGTATCGGCGAGTTCTGGATGAACGAAGTATGACACGGTTAGGTTGGGAGGCCGAAGTCAGGCAGGTCTGTCTGGCAGACCCATCGTTCGGTGTCATCGCGGAGGAGAGCTCTGAGGAGTCAAGCGGTAGAAGTAGCTTGAACGTCGCCAACCTGTCGCTGCAAAAGTATTCCGAGACTGTCCGTTAGAGAATAGTCATTTATCGGTCACATAGCTTTTATTTGAACAGCCCTAAGCTAATAGCCTATTTTTTTCCGACAGCTGCCGCTCTTGAACAGATGTGTTCGTGCCAGATCCAGTTCTTGGTGATCTGGATTCCAGCCAGCCGAAATGGAGGACTCTTTGGTAGAATCCATCGAAACCGGATGAGCGTTAGGGCGGTTTTTCTACCTATCGAGGTTCTATAAACAGGCACGCACTCATTTCACACAAAACTGATAATTTAATTGCCCATCTAATAAAATATAGTTAATTCAACTGCCTCTGGTCGGTTTGACAGTTTCTTACCCAACACATATTGAAAATCACACCATTGAAGTGATTTGGCAACGTAGCACACGCCCACAAAAGAATTTTCGTTCCATCATTCTACACAGACACTGCTAACCTTCGGCCATCTGTCAAAAGGTTCATCTTACTCATTATTCCATACCCACCATTTTGTGCAATCATCAAGTGGCTTCACGATGTAATGCTTAACTTTCGTTTTTTAAATTTTTTAATCTGTTTTTAACTTGTTCTTATTATAGTTTGTATAATTTTGACCATTGTACCATTTATCCAGCTTTCACCATGTTACTGGGTGTTTCCCTCATCCTTAATGTAAACAACAATTAGCAACATCCTCACATACTACTGTAAGTTAATTTAAAATCATTTTACACTATTGTTGCTACTGTTATCAATGTAATTGCAGCTCCTGATGATGATGGCAAAGATCATTGAAAGCTATAGAGATCAAAAAAAGTATAAAGAGTCCTTGCTTAAATTTTGTCGAAGTACCCAAAAAGCGGAAGCTTTAATTTTTCACCTATATACTCGTATATATATATATATATATATATATATATATATATATATATATATATATATATATATACTAAGTGACATATAAATCCGAACACCCAGTTTAAATGGTTTTATTTTAATAAAAGTTGGTGAATGTATTTATCTTACTGTTCCGCATTCTCCAACGCGCCTAGGCATGCTTCTGATCAGGTGGTCAATGTCCTCCTGTGGTATCTCATTCCAGGCAACCACCAACTCCTCTCGAAGTGCTTCTAGAGTCTGAGGAGGACGTTGCAAATTGAGCAATCTCCTACCCATCATATCCCACACGTGCTCAATTGGGGATAAGTCGGGAGATCTTCGTGGCCATGGTAACAATGTGACATCATTATGTTGAAAGAAGTCTATTGTGACTCTTGCAACATGTGGTCGGGCATTATGTTGTTGGAAAGTTGGATCTGCCAGGGTGTCAAGATAGGGTAAAAGATGGGGTTCTAGAACTTCGTGGATATAACGCTGCGCGTTCATGTTACCTCTGATGACGATTAAAGGTGACCTGGAACCATAAGCTATAGCACCCCAAACCATAACTCCAACAGTGTGATGAACATGTCTTTCAACAAAAAACTGTGGATTCCTCATTTCACCACGTCGCCTTCTAACCCTGGCACGACCATCGTGCATGCCTAAACAAAATCGAGACTCGTCACTAAAGACAATATTGTTCCATTCCTGATCCCAGAGTGACCGTTGTCTGCACCACTCAAGGCGATTACGTCGGTGTTCTCGAGTTAAAGGGAGGACCCAGTGTGGCCGGTATGAAAACAAGCCAAAACTTCTCATTCGCCGGTAAACACTTCGCATGCCAATAGGTCTTCCGTGTTCTGCAAACCATTCATTTGCAATGCCCTGGTAGTGGAGAAACGGTCCCTTAAGGCCAATAATCTTAGGCGGCGCTCTTCACGGTCTGTTGTTCTACGGCGGCGTCCAGTGCCCCTTGCTCTTTGCGTACGGCCTTCTCGAAGCCATGCCTGACAACACCTAACCACAGTGTCTACACTTCTTTGCACTCTAACTGCAATTGCTCGAAAAGAAAGTCCAGCTTCCCGAAGTCCCACTATACGGCCCCTATCAAACTCACTAAGTTGACGAAATCGTACAGGTCTCCGTACTCTAGGCATCGTAACCGATCGTAAAGGATGTCAAGAACCAAAATCCGCCAACGTGGATTCTTTACTGCGGCTGAAATATTCATTTTTAGAGCGTTAGTGAATTAAAAAAAAGCAGTATAAAAACCGGGATGTCCAACTGATAAGGCTGAAAATTTTTTCACTTGTTATTTACAGTAAGATAAATACATTCACCAACTTTTATTAAAATAAAACCATTTAAACTGGGTGTTCGGATTTATATGTCACTTAGTATAACTAGGGGATCACTGACACGGAACAGTGAAAATCCGGAAATAACCCAGCCTTTCAGAAGGAGACGAAATACTATGAAAATTGGGGAGGCCATAAAGGTTTCCTACAATTATTGGAGTAACGACTGACCATACAGCCCTTAATGTTAGATCGACGTTTGCAGAATTCTTATATAGATAAAGAACTATTTTTGTACTCTATCATCTAAAAATGCTATCCTCCATTTGGAGATTTTAGGGGGTTCGTTCATACGGGGTTTTAAATTGGTTAATCTTTGCAGATTCAGGAATCAACCTTTGAGAAAGACGTTAGAAACCATGGTTTGTCCAACACGACTAATAGTCTCAAGGAATGACAGGAAGTAAAACATGGGAAAAAGTTCATAAAGTCTTCAAATATTGATATTATGCTATGAAATGTATCAAGTATAGACAAGCCTGAAATCATAGCTAGATTTATAGAAACATTTACATTAATTTTATCTTTTGCAATTCTAAATGTCTTATGTCAAAGAGTTGGTCCCATCATGCTATTAAATATGATAGAATATTTCTTTGAGGGTGAATAAAAAATAGTGGCAATATTCTTAAGACAGAAAAGAGATCAGGAAATAACACGAAATTAGCTATAAACATGGGACTTGAAATAGAATAGAGTAGATTAGAATATGTTTTATTTCCACTAGTTTATAAAGTAGTATCGGAATATCGTCATAAGCATAAACAAGCAGATTATAAAACAAAAACAATTTACATAGTACATAACTAACAAATGAAAGCTAAAAAAACCATGTTTAATATGTTCCTGCTAGATACGGGATTTTGAAGTTTTCTAATACTTTATTTTTGAAGTGGATGTCATTTTCACACGTGTACACTAGAATCTTTGAGCTCAAAATTGACCAAAGTAGAAACTTGGGCATTTGAACACCTAGAGAACGAAGACAATGATATTTACTGCATTTTTGGGTAAGCTATATAATTTTACATGAACTGTCTTGTTTTCCAGTCCATTGGGAAAACTTGGTTTCAATATTCATTCATATTAAAGAATACGGTGATGCCGGTGACATTGAGAAGTGTAAGTTGTGTAAAACGGGTGTACGCTATTTCGGCATAACGTTCTTTTAATAATAGTTATATTTTATTCCCAATAAGCTTAAAATAGTATCTTGAAGAAAGTTGAGGCATTTCGCAGAGAGAGATTCATTAATGAAGTGACCGAGAATATGAAGTGGGTATGTAAGAAGGTATGAATATCGTCGAATGATTCAGTGAGCTTACTTCTGAGGAAGCAGCTTATTTTAACAATATTTGTACCTACTAACAATAGGCTTATTTTGTCTATCTTGAATCTTTTTGGAGTAGAGAGGCTTTTAAACGTTTTCCAATTTTTTTTATGTTTGTGAATTAATAGTTAGCATTGATAACATCATGTGAAGCTTATACGTCAAAGAATACTGTGAGTTCCTTAGTCGAATCCAATTATTACAGAGGTAACCAAAAAAGGAATACAACAATCATATCCTCATATACGCCCAACGATCCATATAATATAAAATTTGCTAAGACCAGTTCCCCTTGACTTCACACTTCCTCATATACAGCAAAAAAATGCCTATTATCAACCATACTCTATTTCTTCAAATAGGTCTACAACGAACATTCCACATGCGAAGTACGTCATAACTTATAATAAAATTTTGTGTGTGGGTCATCTAGTTAGTGATATTGACATACAAGTAGATTTTACTATTCATTCACCTTGCAAAATTACAGCAATAAAATGAATATTGCAAATGTCGGCCTTCAGTCTAGGAACCTATGTTATGATTTATATGAACGCTCTGCGTGAAGGGCAGTCAAATTAGATGGCACTTTTTTGCAAATAGAAAACCTGTACGATTTGCATAAATATTTTCTTATTGAAGCATTATTACGTCTTTACGGAATTATAAAACGCAAAACGCATAAACTGTTTCTGATTGAAATGGCGTCATATGCGGTTGGTAATGGTCATGAAATAAAAAAAAAAACTGATCCAATTAAGCCGACAGTAAAGGATCAGAAAATTTTAAGTTGATTGCATCTATGGAACTGTTACATCTAAATGTTCACATGTATTTTAAACCTTTGTCAATTTTATTTGATTGTTCTATAGGAGCCAAAATTTTGTGATTTAGACATTTTTTCCAAAATTCAGCTGAGTATTTA